TCTGTCAGGTGTTCACAACATCCACAGATGACGTTGTAGGGGTTTACACATCGAGCGGTGCATCAAAGACGTAAGCCTTCTGTGTAGCAGTGAGGACACTCCTCGGACTACGGACCTAGTCCGCATCATTGCTTACAATATCTTTCAACTTGGTCTTTCTCTAGGAACGTATTGAAACAGGGAGCTACAACGTGAGCTATTTATCTACAACATATTTGCAAAGACAATTTAGACTACGTTCATGATAATTGAGTTCATTTAATGAACTCCCACTCAGATAGACATCCCTCTAGTCATCTAAGTGAAACATGATCCAAGTCAACTAGGCCGTGTCCGATCATCACGTGAGACGGACTAGTCAACATCGGTGAACATCTTCATGTTGATCGTATCTTCTATACGACTCATGCTCGACCTTTCGGTCTTCCGTGTTCCGAGGCCATGTCTGTACATGCTAGGCTCGTCAAGTCAACCTAAGTGTTTTTGCTGTGTAAATCTGGCTTACACCCGTTGTATTCGAACATTAGAATCTATCACACCCGATCATCACGTGGTGCTTCAAAATGACGAACCTTCGCAACGGTGCACAGTTAGGGGGAACACTTTTCTTGAAATTTTAGTGAGGGATCATCTTATTTAAGCTACCGTCGTTCTAAGCAAATAAGATGTAAAACATGATAAACATCACATGCAATCAAATAGTGACATGATATGGCCAATATCATTTTGCCCCTTTTGATCTCCATCTTCGGGGCTCCATGATCATCGTTGTCACCGGCATGACACCATGATCTCCATCATCATGATCTCCATCATCGCGTCTTCTTGAAGTTGTCTCGTCATCTATTACTTCTACTACTATGGCTAACGCTTTAGCAATAAAGTAAAGTAATTACATGACGTTTATATTGACACGCAGGTCATAAATAAATAAAGACAACTCTTATGGCTCCTGCCGGTTGTCATACTCATCGACATGCAAGTAGTGATTCATATTACAAGAACATGATCAATCTCATACATCACATATATCATTCATCACATCCTTCTGGCCATATCACATCACAAGGCATATGCTGCAAAAACAAGTTAGACGTCCTCTAATTGTTGTTGCAAGTTTTTACGTGGCTGCTATAGGTTTCTATCAAGAACGTTTCTTACCTACGCGAAAACCACAATGTGATATGCCAATTTCTATCTACCCTTCATAAGGACCCTTTTCATCAAATCCGATCCAACTAAAGTGGGAGAGACAGACACCCGCTAGCCACCTTATGCAACTAGTGCATGTCAGTCGGTGGAACCAGTCTCACGTAAGAGTACGTGTAAGGTCGGTCCGGGCCGCTTCATCCCACGATGCCGCCGAATCAAGATAAGACTAGTAACGACAAGTAAATTGACAAAATCGACGCCCACAACAACTTGTGTTCTACTCGTGCATAGAAACTACGCATAGACCTAGCTCATGATGCCACTGTTGGGGATCATAGCAGAAATTCAAAATTTTCTACGCATCACCAAGATCAATCTATGGAGTAATCTAGCAACGAGGGGAAGGAGAGTGCATCTACATACCCTTGTAGATCGCTAAGCGGAAGCGTTCAAGTGAAAGGGGTTGATGGAGTCGTACTCGTCGTGATCCAAATCACCGATGATCCTAGTGCCGAACGGACGGCACCTCCGTGTTCAACACACGTACAGCCCGATGACGTCTCCTACGCCTTGATCCAACAAGGGGAGAAGGAGGGGTTGGGGAAGACTCCATCCGACAACAGCACGACGGCATGGTGGTGGTGGAGGAGCGTGGTACTCCAGCAGGGCTTCGCCAAGCACCGCAAGAGACGAGGAGGGAGAGGGGTAGGGCTGCGCCAAGAAGGAGATATTCTCGTGTGTATGGCAGCCCAAAACCCCCACTATATATAGGGGAAAGGGAGGGGCTGCGCCCCCACCTAGGTTTCCACCCCTAGGGGTGGCGGCCAGCCCTAGATCCCATCTAGGGGGCGACCAAGGGGGGAGAGAGGGGGGGCACCACTAGGTGGGCCTTAGGCCATCTGAGCCTAGGGTTTCCCCCTTTTCCCTTCTCTCTTCGCCTTGGGCCCTGGTGGGGGGGGGGGCGCACCAGCCCACCTGGGGCTGATCCCCCTTCACACTTGGCCCACGCAGCCCTCTGGGGTAGGTAGCCCCACCTAGTGGACCCTCGGGACCTTCTCGGTGGTCCCGGTACGTTACCGATAGCACCCGAAACTTTTCCGGTGACCAAAACAGGACTTCCCATATATAAATCTTTACCTCTGGACCATTCCGGAACTCCTCGTGATGTCCGGGATCTCATCCGGGACTCCGAAAAACATTCGGTAACCACGTATATCTATTCCCTATAACCCTAGCGTCATCGAACCTTAAGTGTGTAGACCCTACGGGTTCGGGAACCATGCAGACATGACCGAGACAACTCTTCGGTCAATAACCAACAGCGGGATCTGGATACCCATGTTGGCTCCCACATGTTCCACGATGATCTCATCGGATGAACCACGATGTCAAGGACTTAATCAATCCCGTATACAATTCCCTTTGTCTAGCGGTACGATACTTGCCCGAGATTCGATCGTCGGTATCCCGATACCTTGTTCAATCTCGTTACCAGCAAGTCTCTTTACTCGTTCCGTAACACATCATCCCGTGATCAACTCCTTGGTCACATTGTGCACATTATGATGATGTCCTACCGAGTGGGCCCAGAGATACCTCTCCGTTTACACGGAGTGACAAATCCTAGTCTCGATTCGTGCCAACCCAACAGACACTTTCGGAGATACCTGTAGTGAACCTTTATAGCCACCTAGTTACATTGTGACGTTTGGTACACCCAAAGCATTCCTACGATATCCGGGAGTTGCACAATCTCATGGTCTAAGGAAATGATACTTGACATTAGAAAAGCTTTAGCATATGAACTACACGATCTTTGTGCTAGGCTTAGGATTGAGTCTTGTCCATCACATCATTCTCCTAATGATGTGATCCCGTTATGAACGACATCCAATGTCCATGGTCAGGAAACCGTAACCATCTATTGATCAACGAGCTAGTCAACTAGAGGCTTACTAGGGACATGGTGTTGTCTATGTATCCACACATGTATCTGAGTTTCCTATCAATACAATTCTAGCATGGATAATAGACGATTATCATGAACAAGGAAATATAATAATAACCAATTTATTATTGGCATATTTCCAACAGAATGACCTTCAACAAGCTTGGCAAAGACAGGAGAGCACTATAGCACATTGATGTCATTGTGAGTTCCTGACATACCAAAGAAGGAGTGCCAAATCCAGAGGTCCTGTGTGGCCACCGCCTCAAGTACCACACTGCAACCGCCTTTGGCGCATTTGTACACCCCCTGCCAAGCAAATGGGCAATTCTTCCATTTCCAATGCATGCAGTCGATGCTTCCAAGCATCCCAGGAAATCCTCTTGCAGCATTCTGTGCTAGGATCCGAGCAATGTCTTCCGCATTGGGTGTTCTCAAGTATTGCGGTTCAACCACTGCCACCACTGCCCGACAGAACTTGTAGAAACACTCTATGCTGGTGGACTCGGCCATGCGCCCATAGTCGTCAAGTGAATCATCGGAAGCTCCGTATGCAAGCATCCTCATCGCTGTCGTGCACTTCTGGATGGAGGTGAATCCAAGGGCGCCGGTGCAATCCATCTTGCACTTGAAGTAGTTGTCGAACTCCCGGATGGAATTCACAATCCCGAGGAAGAGCTTTCGACTCATCCGATAACGGCGCCGAAATGTTTTCTCGCCGTGAAGTGGAGCATCGGCGAAGTAGTCAGAGTAGAGCATGCAGTAGCCTTCGAGACGATGCCGGTTCTTTGCTTTCACCCGCCCCGGCGCCGAGCCACCTCGCCGCGGCTTTTCATTGCTCGCCAGCAGCTGGGCGAGGGTGGCGAGCACCATGAGATGCTCTTCTTCCTGGACGTCGGCCTCAGATTCCTCCTCCAGCAGCGCGGTGAGCGCTTCCTCGTCATCCGAGTCCATCGCCGAGTCAGGCAAATCGCCGAACACCTTGCGCCTGGTGGGCGTGTCCCCGCCGCTAAACTGCCCCTCCGCGGCCGGAAACGCCCAGCTGCTGTTGGAGGGGCTGCCACGGTGAAGCTCTGCTATTTTTCCGGCGTGGAATGGCTATCTAGTGGTGAAAGACGGCGGGCAGCGCCGGGATATAGCTACTGGCGGCCGAGGGCCTGGGGGGTGGGAGGCGAGTCGGGGAAGAAAACCTTGAATTTTTCCCTGACGGCGTGGGCCAGCCGCGCTTTTCCCTTGCGCCGGAGCCCCCAACCGCCCCCCAGTGCGCCGGGTTCGACCTGTGACCGCCGGGCAAAAAAAGGCCCGAGTCGGCGTTTTTCGGCGTCCTAGAGGCACGACTGAGCCGATTTTTCGACGCCGGCGCGGCAAAAACGCCTGAAAAGGGTCTGTTGGGGACGCGGCTGAAGATGCTCTTAAGGGGCGGCGGTAGGTCAAATGAGTGTGCCTGCCGGAAACAGGCCACAGTTTCATGGAAGTCTTCACCAGGAAATACATAAATAAAAATACCAGACAAATATCTCGAAACGAAAGGTTTTTCGGTGTCACATGAAGGTAAGGCCCGGCAGTAGCTACGTAGCGTGGTTTCAAATTTAGGCCCCACCATTTTGGAGGCAAGTACGTACTTAGTTAATTAAGCAACGTGACAAAAACGTCAGAGTCGGCACCAAATTCTTATTTGTCCAACAAATTAAACGCCACACTAAATCCTCATAAATCGAAGTAGCCACGAGGAGGATACACGTGCAGGTATGAGTTGGAGGAGGCGTGGAGGTTGTGCATCCGGCCAAACCAACTACTACTCTCCCGTGTTTTGCTGCATATAAAATTCGTTCGAGTGCCTGCCTGATCAGCTCAACTCTCTATTGGTGCTTCGTTGTGCGGCCGCGCGAGAGCTAGCAAAATGGTCTGTCCTAGTCCTAGCTACTCTCTCCCATGCAAGAGCTGAGCTCCATGCTGTGCTATCTATCTTCACAGGAGGACTCATGGCGGCTGGTTGTTTTGTGTGTGCGTGCAGAGCCAGAGCCCGAGCCCGAGCCCGAGCCCGGTGGTAAAGCTGGGGGCGTGGGGCGGCGACGACGGGGTCGCCCACGACATCACGGTGGCGCCGCAGCGGCTGGAGAGCATCACCATCCGCTGGGGCAAGGTCCTCGACTCCGTCGGCTTCACCTACAGGGACAAGGACAAGCGGCTGCACACCGCCGGGCCCTGGGGCGGCGCCGGAGGGGAAAAGGGTGTGCCAGACACGGTGAGTGATCCAGACATTTCTTTGGCATGTGCATACCCACAAGACGGAAAAGCCTGCAGAGCGCTAGTCTTTGCAAAAAAAAAACATCAGTTAAGAAGTAAAGTTTATATGTATAATATCGGTTCCTTACACGTATGTACAGATCACCCTGGGGCCCTCGGAGTACATAACTCAAGTGGACTGGTCGGTGGGCCCGTTCAAGCTCAAGGAAATCGAGCACTGCATCACCTCACTCAAGTTTGTGACCAACCAGGCCACCTACGGCCCGTTCGGCTACGGGGTGGACAGCACGCACTACAGCCTGCCCGTGCTCAACAATGGCAGCATCGTCGGCATGTTCGGCCGTGCCGGAGACTACCTCCACGCCATTGGCTTCTATGTCACGGCCGAACAAGCCGAGGACGCTGTCCATGTCTGATTTTCAACTACCCATGTCCCAGAGATCAGTCTCGCATCTCGAGTTCCCATGTTCATTGATCCCATCCATTGTTCAGCATCTAAATCGGATCAGAAAACATCTTATATTTTGAGACAGAGGGAGTACAGTTGCTTCAACAAATAGGGTATCTGGCCATGGCCGTTTGAATATTTTGCGAATTTGGATTACATGACATATGAAGTTCGAGAGAATAAAAGGCTGTATGTTCAATATTTTGGACACCGATCATGAAAAGAAACAGAGTTCTAGTATCAAATGAATTTCACCTTCGTGTGTGTGTGCGCGCTTGAAGAAGATTTTTCCTACGCATGCTTAGTTGAAACCGTAGCTTTGGCATACCAAAGCTCTGTTTCTCATCTAGGTTAGCCCCGATGACCGCCGTGTTCGTGGGATCGGTCGGATCAAGCTGAATCTTCCTGGTAGCAGGGTCCGGCTGCATAGCGAAATTAATTGCTTTCTTGGTCCTCAAGCTCCGCTGCCGCCGTACAGATCTGTCAAGTGCCGAGTTCAGCGAGCTCAAGGCTCTCTGTTTCCCGGGCTCTCTGTTTACGGGAGCTGGCCTGCCAAAGATGGTGTGGTAAGCCGGGTCACAACTAGCCACCTGAAAAGTAACAAACTCCTTGCAGTTCTTCTCCGGTCCTCCAAACGTGACGGGCAGAGAGATCTGTCCGAGTGGTGGCAAAATTTCCTGTTTTGACCCTTGTTGTGTAGTTTTGCAGGACCCTAGTTTGATTTTTTTTGGATTTGACCCTTCTCCTATCGCCGGGACCCACGGTAGTAGGGTTGAACATGATACCGCCATGCCCCCTGACGGTAAGTTGATGGCAGCCCCTGTCAACCAGCCGTTTCTGGTCTGATGTGTCCTAACAGCACTACCGCCGGGGTAGACGGCGGTAGGGTAGCTAAAGCTACTGCTGCGGGAGGTGGCGGTAGGGTGTGCCCGGCCTGCGTGGGCGCAAGCTTTCTGTGACAGAAAACTGGACTATTTCTGCGGTAGGTTTTCATACCCTACCGTCACACCCATCGGCGGTAAGGTGTGTCAGGCGCGGCAGCATTATGCACTGAAAATGGAGGATTTTGTGTGGTAGGTTCTCACAGCCTACCACCAGGGAACCTGGCGTTAAGGTGTGAGATCCTAAGGTCATGGTTCTTGGCAGTAGGGTCCTCTCTCACTTATTTTTCTACAAGAACTTGACTATTTGAATTGCAAATATAACACCGATAGATAAACACACATCAGTAAATAGTATTTGCATATGAAAATATGATGACCTCACACATTATAATTTATTATTTTCATAATTTTTCATATATTTCGAAACGAACAAAAAATACCTTTATGGAACTTTTGGAGTCAGTTTACTTATCGTATCACATAGCTACTCCTTTCCAGAGTTTTAGAGCGTTCCGAAAAGTTGCCTCTGTGCTCTTCCAGTGTCATGGTTTGAATAATATCGGTTTCAACATTAATGGGTGTACCTGAGATGTAATGCTTAATTCTTTGCATATTAACCACCCTCGGATTAGTGCCTTCGGTGTTGTTTATCTTGATAGCTCCGGAGCGGTAAACTTCTTCGATGATGTATAGCCTTTCCCATTTAGAGAGAAACCTTCTTGCAAAGAATCTTAAATGAGAGTTGAATAATAAAACTTGATCACCTACTTTAAATTCCTGTTTTTGAATTCTTTTATCATGCCATCTTTTAACAAATAACTTGGCATTTTCATAAGCTTCTGTCCTCCATTCATCTAAAGAACTAATATCAAATAACCTCTTTTCACCGGCAAGTTTGAAATCATAATTAAGTTCTTTAATTGCCTAATATGTTTTATGTTCTAACTCAAGAGGTAAATGACATGCTTTTCCATAGACCATTTTATAAGGGGACAGACCCGTAGGATTTTTATAATCAGTTATGTATGCCCATAATGCATCATCAAGTTTCTTAGACCAATTCTTTCTAGATCTATTAACAGTCTCAGTTCAACTTGACCACTAGACTGAGGATGATAAGGAGATGCAATTATATGGTCAACATCATATTTAGCAAGGAGTTTACAGGAAGCACCATGAATAAAATGTGAACCATCATTAGTCATTAAATATCCAGGAACTCCAAAACTCAGGAAAATAACTTTAAGCATTTTAATAGATGTGTTATGATCAACATTACTAGTTCGAATAGCTTCTATCCAGTTAGTAACGTAATCAACAACAACTAGAATATGTTTATACCCACTAGAAGAACTAAAAGGTCCCATATAATTAAATCCCTAAACATCAAATGGTTCAATAACAAGTGAATAATTTATAGGCATTTCCTGACGTATACTATCAATTCTTTGACATCCATCACAAGAAAGGACAAACTTACGTGCATCCGTGAAGAGAGTAGGACAATAAAAACCAGACTATAATACCTTATTGCAGTTCTGTCTCCAGCGCGGTGTCCTTCGTATGCCTTGGAATGATACTTTCGGAGGATTTGTTCCTGTTCATGCTCAGGTACACAACGTCTAATAACATCATCTGTTTATATAGATGTGGTCATCCCAAAAGTAATGTCTTAAATCAAAGAAGAACTGTTTCTCTTGTTGGTATGTGAAACTAGGTGGTATATATTTAGAAACAATGTAATTAACATAGTTTGCATACCAAGGAGTATTATGAGAAGCATTTATAACAACTAATTTTTCATCAGGAAAACTTTCATCAATAGGCAGTGGGTCATCAAGAACATTTTCCATTCGAGACAAATTATCAGCTACGGGATTCTTGGCTCTCTTTCTATCAAGAATATGCAAGTCAAATTCTTGTAGCAAAAGAACTCACCTAATCAACATAGGTTTAGCATCTTTCTTTTCCATAAGATATTTAATGGCAGCATGATCGGTGTGAACAATTATTTTAGGATCAACAATATAAGATCTGAATTTATCACATGCAAACACAACTACTAAAAGTTATTTCTCGGTAGTAGCATAATTTCTTTAGGCACAGTCTGGAGTTTTACTAGCATAATGGACAACATTCAATTTCTTATCAACTCTTTGTTCTAGGACATCACCAACAACATAATCACTAGCATCACACATAATTTCAAAAGGAAAATTTCAATCAGGTGGTTGAACAATAGGTGTATAGGTTAAGACTTTCTTAAGTATTTCAAAGGCTTCTACGCAATCATCATAAAAAACAAATGGAATATCTTTTTGCAAAAAATTAGTAAGAGGCCTAGAAATTTTAGAGAAGTCTTTTACAAGCCTTCTATAGAAACCAACATGACCAAGAAAACTTCTTATACCTTTTATATCTTTAGGACATGACATTTTCTCAATTGCATCAACCTTAGCTTTATCCACTTCAGTGCCTCATTCAGAAATTTTATACCCAAGGACAGTACCTTCGTTCACCATAAAGTGACACTTCTCCCAATTCAAGACAAGATTAGTTTCTTCACATCTCTGCAAAACTTGATCAAGATTGCTCAAGCAATCATCAAAAGAAGTCTCATAAATGGAAAAAATCATCCATGAATACCTCAACAATCTTTTCACAAAAACCAGAGAATATGGCAGTCATACATCTTTGAAAGGTAGCAGGTGCATTGCATAAACCGAAAGTCATACGTTTATAAGCAAGTTCCAAAAGGACACGTGCCGGTATCAAAGCCGGCGGATCTCGGGTAGGGGGTCCCGAACTGTGCGTCTAAGGCGGATGGTAACAGGAGGCAGGAGACACAATGTTTACCCAGGTTCGGGCCCTCTTGATGGAGGTAATACCCTACGTCCTGCTTGATTGTTCTTGATGATATGAGTATTACAAGAGTTGATCTACCACGAGATCGTAGCTAATTTTTTTAAATAATACATTTTTTATATTAAATTTTAGAAATATTACGCCATAATTATATTTTTTAAAATATTACGCAATCAGCCTACTGCTGACCGATTGGATCCAGTCGGCCTGCTGCTGGCCGATTGGCCCCAGTTGGCCCACTGCCGGCTGATTGGATCCAGTCGGCCCACTGCTGGCCGATTGGCCTCAGTCAGCCCACTGCTGGCCGATTGACACCCAGTCTGCTTCCTCTAGGCCGACAGGTGCATGCACCCATTTATCTGTTAAATAGGTATTTGAAAAATGTTGAAGAAGTATTTGAAAAAAATATTGATCATGCATATAAAAATGTTAATCAAGCATTTAAAAAAATATTGAACAAGTATTTTAAAGATGTTGAACAAATATTTGAAAAATGTTGAATAGGTACTTGAAAAATATTAAAGAAGCATTTTAAAAAATGTTGATCATGTATATAAAAATGTTAATCAAGCATTTGCAAAAAATGTTGAACAAGTATTTCAAAAAATGTTAAAAAAGTTTTTGAAAAAATATTAATCATGTATATAAAAATGTTGAACAAGTATTTGAAAAAATATTAATCATGTATATAAAAATGTTGAATAAGTATTTGTAAAAATGTTGAACAAGTATTTAAAATATGTTGAACAAGTATTTAAAAAATATTAAACAAGTATTTTTAAAAAATTGAACAAGTATTTGAAAAAAAGTTTAACATCTGGAAGCTGGTCGGGTAGTTATTAGCTGTGTTGAGGATCGATGCCTGGTCTCCATGGTAATCACCAGAGCAGCTAACCATCCCATTAGTTTCCAATTGCTGGTTCAAAAAGGGATCGCGACCAACTAAAGGTGACTGAGCCGGTCTTCTCCATTATTTCATTCTTTTTTTTCTTTTATTTCTATATTATTTTTTCAAATACTTGTTCAATTTTTTTCAAATACTTGTTCAACATTTTTATATACATGATCAACATTTTTACAAATAATTGTTCAACATTTTTATTTACATGATCAATATTTTTTAAATACTTGTTCAATTTTTTTTCAAATACTTGTTCAACATTTTCTTCAAATACTTCTTCAACATTTGTTGCAAATGCTTGATTAACATTTTTATATA